AAACTCAAACCCCGTTCGTTCCGAGTTGGAGATTTGGTCCTCAAACGTATAACGGGGCCTGACCCCGGACCACTCAGACCGCGGTGGGAAGGACCCTTTCAAATCATTAAAGTCCTACCTCATGGGGCCTACCGAATTCTCATCCTGATGGGACACCGCATCAATATCCCTGGAATGTTGTGTTTTTGAAAAAATTCTATCAGTGAAGGATCCGAAGTCGGATAGCCGACCCCCCTTTTGCACGGACCTTCCTTTTGCCACGGTGAATATACGAAGTCATCTTTTTGATGTACTGACAAGCCTGTCAGTCTGCATTTTGGCAAATCCGAACAACAGTTCGATATCAATGTAAACAGTTTGAAGTTCAGTTCTATGAATGTTTCGTACCGATGTAAGCATTGCGACACTCGGTCTAGCTGATACCTCATAATATGTCCGAATACCATATATTTTCGGATGGGGGTGATGCTCGTCAAACGTCATTTCGACTCACATGATTTGACGGGTCCCAAAAGTTACCGAACATAAAATATAAAAATCGGTCGGGACCATTCCATAATCGAACTCCGACGAAGTTCGGTGACTTCCCTTTTATTTCCCGTACAGCCCTAAAAATGTGTTAAGTTTCGCGAAGTTATTTGAAAACTCGCATATCGACTTGCACTTGTGGCTGAAATTATTATAACGATCAAAGTGGAATTCGGAAGACTGGTTTTTACAAAACCTTACAGCTCGGTTACTGATATCTGATATACATAAATCCGAGTTGAAGCAATTCTTAAGTAAAATCTGTACCGAATTCAGAACACTTTGACAAAATCGCTGAAATTCGCACAGCAAACATAAACCAAAATAAAAATTACGCAAACACTTCATATATATTCTGAAAAAGTTGGGAAATTCCTTACATATTTCCTACTAAGGGAATCGGCTACCCGATATCCCCGATTACATATCGAAAACTTCGAATATTTCCTACTAAGGATGTCGACATGCCGGCACCCCGACCACATACTACAAATAAAACAAATATTAATAAAACAACAGGCAAAGAACCTCAAGCCTCATCGGTCGACTTCTCTACATTATCCCCGGTGCCGCTGCCTTCTCCGAATTCGGTCCCGGAAGATAGTCATTCCAGTACATGCAACTCCTTCGCCTTAGCAGCAGCTTCAATGGCCCCATCTGGCACCGGAATGAAATCATCACGAGGATCGGGCAGCTTCTCTACATCATCTTCAGCCGGAGTGACCACCTTCACAACTTCAACCTCCTTATCGACCGACCTTGCCTTCTCCTCGATGTAAGCTTTGACCCGGCTCTGAATTTGCTCCGGAGTCATGTCGTCGAAGTGTTGTTCGACCTCCACCTCGACTAAAGTTGAAAGGTATACGTCGGCCAGTTCCTTCCTTTTCTCTTTCTCCTCCTCCAAAATCATATTGACGTAAGCACGTCGGAGGAGAGCGGCCCTATCCTCGGAGAGTGGCGGTAGATATGGATTCGCGTTTATCTCCTCGGAACGACGAAGCATCCAGACACAAAACTCACGTTCATGTTCATCAGCCGCCACATGCATTCCCTTTATTTCGGAGTCAAACCCATACTTCTCCAACTTGTGGAAAAGGAACAAGCGAAGGTCGTCAATGTCATAGTATCCGGCGTCGTAGCGTTCAATGACCCATCTCAGATTCAAACAGGTGTTCATTTCGATCTCGAGATCAGGTCCACCGACTTCATCATCTTCACCGGCTTCGGCAGCTTCGATCCCGGCCTCACCATCAGACTTCAGTTCAACAGCAACCGAATCCTTCCCAGCTTGGAAGCCATTTTCATACATGAATTCTCCATAAGCCGACTTCTCCCTCTCAAGTTTGGCCATCTCGGCCTGATGAGCATCTTTCTGCCGACCAACGAGTTCGCGAGCCTCAGCACACTCTCTGCGAGTTGTTTCATGATTGGCCTTTTCCTCTAATAGCGCCTTCGC